CCCGGCCTCTTCCGTTCTAACTATGGGACTCACATAAGAGGTCACATTTCCCTTTTCCCTTCAGCTGCCAGGTATCTCAGCGCCACCTCTGAAGTTCTGCCGTGGTAATTTCGTGACCTGAAACGCTGGCTTCCTTTCTTTCTGGGGTCTTAGCCTTCTCCCTCTGTTTACATCTCGGTTGTCAACTCTCCATCCGTGTTATCATGATTTTTTATTATATGTCCCTTCTGTCACCTTTTGAGAGCAAAGAAGATTGTCAATCGGAGAGCTGCACACCTGCAAACGTGGTTGTTTGACGTAATCAATACGTTCCTGTCTGCATTCTCTTCGAATCTGGCAATTTACCTGGGAAGCTTTTTCTCTACCACTAACACTTGAGCCCGTTGGCTACAGCCAGGTACACGGCGAAGCCTTCATCAGCCTGGCCAGTGTGTGGACGGGCACGGTGCTGCACACCTGTAATCCCGGCTCCGTAGTAAGACCCTCTTTGGGGTGGAGGTGAGAGCGAGCGTCTCACGCTGGCAGTGGAGTTCGGTGGTAGAATTTGGGCTCAGCGCGTACAAGACCCTGTCAGGACTGTCCCTTTGTCTCCCACTGTCCCCCGAGTCTCAGATTCTCCTCTGTGAAACGGAGAGCGAACTCCAGCCTGATCCTTGTGCCTGAGGTCATTTGCTGCTGGGACGTTCGTCCACCCTGCTTGTCCCCACCAGCCTGGCTGTCACCTTGGACTCGGTCCCCTCCACGTCCCTGGGAGAGAGAGACCTGTGCACCCTGAAACGGACGCCCAACTTGTGTGAGATCCACTCTGCTTGTCGTCCCCTCGTCGGTGCCACCCCTGGAGGGACAGGTGGGGTCCTGAGAGACCCGCCGTACCTCCCCGCTCCTCGGCTCCACTGGCCACCTCGTGGAGTGGACAGACGCCACCATGGTCGTCTGTCTTGGCAATTTCACAGACAAGATTGCTGAGCTCACGGAGAGGGTCACAGACCCGCGAGTGGCCAGTGGCAGGGACCCCAGAGGGGCAGCCTGAACCTCCCTTCTGCCCGCTAAGTCTTTGAGCCAGGCCGGTGGCTCACGCCTGTAATCCCAGCCACTCAGGAGGCAGAGATCAGGAGGATCTTGGTTCAAAGCCAGCCCAGGCAAATAGTTCTAGAGACCCTGTCTCAAAAAACCCATCACATGAAAGGGCTGGTGGAGGGGCAGGGGCTCATTTCCCAAGGAAAGGGTCTCGGGAAGGTCGGAAGGGTGCCGTGGAAGGGGTCCCCCAGCCTGGGCCAGGAGGCAAGATCACAAAGTCACTGTGGTTGCTAATTTGTCTTTTTTTTTTTTTTTTTTGGTGGCACTGGGATTTGAACTCAGGGCCTCACACTTGCCAGGCAGGTGCTCTTTGCATGTGAGCCACTCCACCAGCCCGCGGCTGCTACTCAGGTCTCGAGAAGTCCGACTGAGAAGTCATCAGAGCGACAGAGTGGTCCCAGCTCTGATCCACCACCCTGTGCAATGCCAGCCAGACGCCAGTGGCGCCCACCTGTAATCCTGGTTCCTTGGGAGGCTGAGATTGGGAGGATCTCAGTTCGAGGCCAACCCGGGCAAATAGTTCTCGAGACCCCCATCTCCCAAATAACCAGAGCAAAATGGACTGGAGGAGAGGCTCGAGCAGTAGAGCACCTGCTTTGTAAGCGCAAAGCCCTGAGTTCAAATCCCAGTCCCACCAAAAAGGACCTTCGAATCCCTGTGCTCTGGAGCCTTTCAGGGCTGTGGTCATGGACCCTTCCCGGGTGACAGAGTCCAGGGCAACACCTGAAGCTTCGTGGAGGTTTGGAACTGAAGGGGTGGACCTGACCCTGGACCTGGGTATGAGGTTCAGTTTTCTCTCTGTTAAATGGGCCTGCTGTAGAATTCTGAAAGTGATCAAATGACATACTGACCCCACAGGGGCACCCACTCCCTCCCTCCCTCGTGGTCCCCTGTCCACGCTTAATCCCTTGTCCCATGGAGGTGTCCCCTCCCCGCTCTCCTGTCCTTAGTTGACAATCCTGTCTGGCTGTCCCGTTTCCCCACAGTAGGACACTCCAGAGGGTTTCCCAAGAACAGATTCTTTATTTCTTTCTCTCTTTTTTTTTTCATAAAAAATCATATTCCTTCAGTATAAAAAATAAATATTTTAAATATGACATTGAATAAATAAAAATAATTTCTCAGTATGAAACATTCCCCACAGGGTACATTCATCAAAGAGGAATTTGTTGTTCAAAAGCCAAGATCTTTCCAGAAGAAAGGAAGGAGGCCCCAGGCTGGGCCCACTGAGCTGTCTGTGCGAACGAGGGGTGCAGCCCAGGGATCGGGGTGGCAGGAGGGGGAAGCCATTTTAACTTAGGGACATTCAGACTGTGCAAGGGACCTCGCTGCATTCTGGGGTCCCATCTGTAGGGACAGAAAACAGGGCTGGCCTGCTTCCATCAGAGATGGGGACAAAGGAGGAAACTAGCAGTGCTTAAATAATTTGGTTTTAAACTTTAAATAATAAATAAGAGCCTCAGTATTTCTCTGGACAGACTGCAAAATGTCCTTTCCTGTCCTCCACCCCTCTTCCTCCGAGCTAAGCTGGGGTTCAAAGCCATCTTGGGGGAAAAATGCAGACCTACGTTTGCCTCCCCCAAAGCTTTTTCACCCCAAAATTCTCTCGTTCAGTGATGCTGTGGAAAATGGACCCTGACCCGGTGGAAGGATCTAGAAAGGACATCGAGAAGGCCAGGAGGAAGAGGCACTTAGTTCCAGAACCTCCGAAGGTTGCTAGGTGGGCCCAGGGAACCCACGTCCACAGCGGGGTGCGATGGGTGGCAAGTCCCCGCTGGCCCCTGGGGCTATGGAATCATCCATTCTGGCTCTCAGACAAAAACCAAAAAACCAAAAGGAGTTGTGTTTCTCTGCAGCCAGCCCCGAGCAGAGCCAGATAGAAGGTTAGGACAAGGGTGTGACCCACACTGGAAGAGACAACTGCTGTGGCCTGTCTGCCACACACACACACACTCACCCCCATCTTTGTCTCCCTGCAGGGATGCAGGCACAGCCAACCTTTTTTCTCCCAGGCCTCAGGCCCAGCCTGCTGCCGGCCACATCCAGATAAAGTGCTTCGAGAACAGAGAAAGAGCTGCAAAGCCAGTGTGGACCTCGTTATCAGTACCAGAACTCTGGGCTGAAGTGCTGACTCGGCCCTACCCGTCAGCTCTGAGAAGCAGCCAGGACCTTCAGTGAACAGGTTCCCCAGCTTGGCGGCCTCCCTGCCTCCCTTCCCTGCTCCCAAAGCCCAGGCGTGTCTTGCACACGAGGGGAGAGAGATCAGCCCAGACATGGGTGGGGGTGGCAGGGAGGCGGGGAACGGGGACCACAGCTTCCTGGTCTGCTTCCCAGGCGTCTCAGGCCTGGCTCTCCCACAACTTTGGGACCACAGGGTCAGCCGTTCAGTGCCCACACTGCTCCAGCTTCCTGAGACGAGCCCTCGGTGGGTGTCCGGGCCACCAGAGGAGTTTCCCTACTGGGTGGGAGCAGGCTGGGTGCTGGGTGAGGCTCATTCCGGGCCCCTCCGTTGCTCTTTGAGGGACAAGGTAATCAGCCTCAGCCAAAGGCCCCAGGATCGTTCATCTCAGTCATGAATGATGCCCCGGTGCAGCCCGACTCCAGGGGGCGCCAGAGAGCACAGGGTGAAAGCCTTCACTTGGCCACTCTACAAACCGGGTCCGCTGCTGACACCCTCAAAGTGAGTCCCAGGGGAGGGCGGGGGAGGGGGAGCTGGTCACTTCTCTCTGAGCATCAGCTGTAGGGCGATTCCATGTGTCACAACTCCAGACCAGACCCCGCAAAGTGAGGCCTGGCCCTGGCTCCTATGGCGGGGGCCACCATGTTATTTGGATCTGCTGATAGGGAAAGGAGGCTAACTTTGTCATTTAAAGCACCAATAAGTTAACATAAATAAGTCATAATAAATAGAGAAAATCGTGCTGAGTTAGTCTCGGACCTCAGGCCCTGACCTCAAGTTCTGCTGCCCCTTGCCCTGGGGACCCAAGGAGGTCTCTGGTCCCCCCCTGCTTAGGTACCTTTGTGCGACCTCACAGGTGTCTACAGGGATTGCATGTGAGCCACCTGTCCCCTGCCTTACACACTGATCCCCAGATGGGGACTTGCAGTGCCTTCTGAACCACGTCACCTGCCTTTTGCACCTGCATACCTGCCACCTCCAGGCCCGGCCACCACCCGATCCCGGCTAAGTCAGGTTGTGGGAAAAGACTACAGGGAAGAGGAACAAGAGCCTATGACGGCTCTTGGGGCCCTGTCTTCCTTCCAGAATCTTCCTTCCCAGACCTGAACACCAGCGACCTTCCAGAACCTTCTGGAACCTTCCAAACTGACCACCTTGAGGCCTGACCGCTCTGATCATGCTCCAGGGAAGATAGCATCCCTTCCCCAGAGCCCGGGCTCAATCTTCTACTCACCCCACTTCCAGAGGACAAGGGCTCCTTCCGGGTCCCAGCCCCTCCGGCTCACCTGAGTCCCAACCAAGCCTTCCAGAGTCTGTCTCAGGACACATGGCCGTCGTTTGGCCATCTGTCCAGACGTCCCCCCAGATCCTTGCTGCCTCGCCCTGTGGCCAGGGCTGCTGTGGACAACACGTGTGTGGTTTGCTCGCTACACAAAGTGAGCGAGTGGCCAAGGGGACCTGGGGGGGGTGGGGACAGGAATTCCCCCCGCCGACCCGCCCTAAGACCGATGTGACCTCCTTCTGGTGGGTGCTGAACACAGGCCCTGCCTATTGAACTTTGAACTCTGCTGGGCTCCATCCCAGTCCACCCGAGAGTGGAGGGTCTGGCCAGGGACCTTTGGGGGGGCCAGCAGCCCTTGGGTGAGTTTCACAATGAATTGCACTGGGTCCCCGAAATTTTGGAGAGCCCCCCCACACCCCACATCTGGATCCCGCTCTGAGCTCCCTTGGTCCATAGGTGCTTCTAGAAGCCCTGGGCCACCGTGTTAATGAACTGCTTGTATGTCCCCAAGAACTGGCAGCCCAGCTTCTTCATCTGGAAGGCGTCCTTGTCGGAGATGTCGGGTCCGTAGACCACGTCCACGTGGCTCACGTGGTACTTGTTGCACAGGCGACAGCGCACATTGCTAAGCAGGCCCCGCATGGCGTCCAGGGTAGCATTGAGCCTGGTGTGGAGGGTGAGGGCGTTGGGGTTCAGGATCTTCTGGTCCCGGGTGACATTACCCAGAAAGGCGCTCAGGTAGGCCACCGCGCGGTACAGGTCCACCAACTTGACCTTGTCCGTGCTGTTGGCGTGGAAGGCGGGGAAGTCCGTGACGTTGGGACCGCACAGCTTGTCCACGTTGCTGGGGAATGGCTCGCCCTGGGCGGTGTACTGAGGAGCAGAGGGACACAGGTGAGGTGACACGGGAGTCGAGGGGTGGCCACCAACCCTTGGGCTTCGGTGTCTCCACCGATGGCCTGGGACTCCAACCCCTTGTCCGTAAGCATCTGGGACCGTCACACCGGCCGGCCGACAGTGATCAAAGTGTGAAGCCGCCTGCCAACCACCACCCAGGACCACATGGGGACGCAAAGGAAATGTGACACTCTCACCTCGGCCGGCACGCCACACACACTTGCACTTTCACCCACCGCACTCGCCCTTTTTCTGATTTGTCAACGCTACCATTCATTCCTCCGGTGCCACACGCCAGGCCACCACCTCTCACCCCAGTTCTGCCCCTTCACTAACCGGCCACCCTGCCTAGTGCGTCTTTCCAGTTCCCAAAGGGTCCCCCGTGGCTCGGTCCCCACAGCTGTCACCACCTGCAGGCCCCCTATCTCCCCACCCTCCTTCCTTGGTAGCCTGGGGGTCACTCACGTAGAGGATGAAGAGGCCATTGGCGCTGCCGTTAAGCTGCATGAGTTGGTTCTTGATCTGGTTCGTGAGGTTGCTGTGACACGGGTGACGTGTGGCACAAGTGGCGTTGACAGGGGTGATGGCAAGAGGTACTCCTGCCCCGTGTTTCCAGTGCAGAACCAACAGCAAGGGCACGACTCCTGGGAACAGGCAAGAAGGAAAGGATGAGCAGAAAGGCCAGAAGAGGGGCTTTGGGGATCATGTCACGTTCGATGGGGACCGAGCAAGGGTCCCAGGGGACAAGACACTTTCCCCTCTCCCTCCAGCTTTGTCGCCATCCTCACTGCTAGGTTTCTGCCTTCTTCCATCTCTCTCTGCTCCCCCCTGGGTGGAGGGAAGAAAGCAAGGTGACAGGACAGGACCTGTTTGCACCTGCTGGAAGTCACATCCAGGGGGACACTCAATTGTCCAGCCTAGCATGGACAGACCCCAGCTCCACCAGGTGCAAGGAGAAAGGAAACCCCCGTCTTTCCTCCTCCAAGCACCGTTGAGACTCCCTAGGCCACTGCAGCCCCGTCCTCCAAACAGGACCCCCCCCAGGACCACAGGGGCTGTCACTCTTCTCCAACTGCCTCTTCAGTCTACTCCCTGGGCCAAGCGTCCCCTAATTCTGCTGTCATGCCCCCCACCACCCTCCATCTCTGCTCTTCCCCCACATGGAGCCAGGTCCGCAGCCACGACCCTCAAGTTCACCCAAATTCCACAGGTCCCCACTGTCAGTGTCCCTATTGCCACTTACCCCCCCCCATCCCCGTGGCCCTCACCTCCACACTCTTGTCCCTCTGGTCTGCTGTTCCTTGCCCCAGGCCCTGGGTGAGGGTGAGGACCCCCCCCCCACACACACACCCTTGCACCCCACACCTGGCTTTGGAGAGGGAAATGGTGGAACCAGGAAAGAGAAAGGGGAAAGGTCACAGGCAGCTGGAGGGGGGGGACAGGAAGGGAGGGAAGCGAAAGGTGTGCAGGAAGAGCGGGAGCTGTCAGGGCTTGTCTGTGATCGCCCCTCCCCTGGGGCGCCTGCCCCTCCTCCATGCTCAGACACCCCCAGATCGGCCCCAGCAGAGAGCCACCTGAGGGTGACAGACAGGGGCTGAAATCAACAGGACCAGTGAAACTGGAGTCCTCCTGCCGGATCCCCAGTGCTGGCACAGGAGGGAAGGTGGAACCTCCAAGGTCACTTCTCCTGGATCCCCTGTTCCCATGAGCATCCCCAGGCGATGGAGAGGCCCCCCGTGATATATGGGGATCCCCCCCTGCCACCCCAGCCCCATCTCACCTGGCACAGAGCACACGCTTTGCGGCCACCAGCAGATGGAGGTGACACCTGCTCCTCTCCCAGGCCGGAGTTTGCAAGCTGCTCTGGCCGCCTGCGCCCCTCCCAGGGAGCAGCCCGGGACGCGGTTGGAAAAGAGAAAGCGGAAAGAAAGAAAGCAAAGGAAAGAGGGAGGGTGAATCCGGAGAAAGCAGAGAAGCGGAGGGCTGGAGCCAAGAGGACCAGGTGGCAGAGGACGCAGCCAGTGCTGGTGCTGGTGCTGGTGGCGGGTCCCCTCCCTCCCTGCCAGGCTGGCTGGGCACAGGAGTTACCGGGACCATGTGCCAGGCGGGGCCCGGACCAGGGCCAGGGCCAGGGCCAGGGCCAGATCGAGCCAGGCTGAGCAAACTCTGCAAAGTGTCCGGAGCCTCTGCTGGTGGATGGCTTGTCCCTGTCCCTTGTCCCCGTCACCGGTGCTCGCCTAGCGCCCCACAGCCAGGACTCACCTGTAAGGAAGTTCTTCATGATGGGCTGAACTCCAGAGCGCCTTGAACGAGACCTCGGATGTGGGCTGTTTTCAGAGGTTCATACTCACAGGGGGACTCTGCCCGATTTATATACTGAGCCTGTGTTGTAAGACACAGAAACAGCTATATTTAGCTGGGATCCCCAGTCCAGGAAGTTGTTTGAGGTGCATCATAGGAAATTATGAATGGAGAAGAAAGTGAGAGTGAAGGGGGGGAGGGGGAGGGCCGAGTTGGGGGGAGGGGGTGGGGGAGGGGAGGGCAAAACTTTTTTTTTTTTTTCCTTCCTCTTCTAAGAATGTGATTGATAAAATTATAATGAAGTCTTCCACCAAAACACCCTGCGGTTTTCCTGAGTGGCTTTTGAAGATGGTGTCTGGTGGAGAGGAGCCTCCCCTCCCCGCAACCCCCATCCCAGGTCCACTGATCCCCACAGGGGGTCCCCAGCGGTGGGTGCCCCCGACTACTGCCTTGACTTACCTGGGTTTGGGGAGGTGGTGGGAGCCTGGATGAGCAGATGGAGGCCAGCAAGTGTGGCCCCCTGGGGCGGGGGGCTTTTGGGGTGGGGGGCAGTAGGAGGAACTGGCTAAGGCTCAGCTGACAATGAAGCTCCCGGAACAGGGGCTGGGGCTCAGTTTGAACTTTAAACAGTGTAATAAAACAAACAAAACGTGGGTGCTGGAAGTCACTAGGAGGTGGCTTTCCCCAACCTGCCCATTGCCACTGGAAAAGAGGGGTGACAAAGGGAACACGTGGCTCAGAGAGTCCCAGAAAGGCTCCTGCACTGCCATCAGCACCCATCCCCGCCCCCGCCCCCCGCTGGCCACCCTACTTCTGAGGGGCTGGTGGCTGTGTGTCTGGGACTCCGGAGACCATCTGAGGGGGAGCCTGGGGAAGGTGGTTCAGCATTTCCATCCTAAAAGGGACCCCTAAAGCAGAGGCTTGAGAGGAGCTTGGCAAATCAGACCCCAGCTGAGCACTGGCAGGGGAAACTGAGGCTGGCGCCCCGCCCCCCAGTTCGTCCTTGGAAGCCCCTTGGGGCTCAGCCTCAGAGAGCTAGGGGTGGCAAGATCTGGTGTCTGCCATCGCCAGGCAGGGTGCTGATGGCACGAGGGACAGTAAGGAGTGTTGGGGACCAGGGCAAAATGAATATCCTCCTCCTTAAAGGCAATGAAAGGCGGGGAGGGTTGCCCTGTGCCAGGCACCAAACACCACTGTGCATTTCCAAGTTCACGGCAGTGGTTCCCATGTCACCTTAACTGTTTCGCTCAGTGTCAACATACGTAAATAGACACATTTTCCACCAAAAAAGAAGAAGACAGACAGTGAAGGAAAAATGAAACCGGGCGCCTGTGGCTCACGCCTACAATCCTACCTCGTCAGGAGGCAGAGATCGGGAGGATCGTGGTTTGAGGCCAGCCAGGGCAAATGGTTTGCGAGACCCTATCTCAAAACAGGGCTGACGAGTGGCTTCAGGTGTGGACCCTGAGTTCAAACTCCAGTACAGTTAAAAAAAAAAAAAGGAAACATGAAGCCACGTGTGGTGCTGCACGTCTGTAGTTCCAGCTATTTGGGAGGCGGAGTCAGGAGGCTGGAGAGCTCCAGGTAGGGAAACCCTGTCACATAACAAATAAAATAAAATAAAATAATAACATAAAAACAAAAGGTCTGGGGGTGTGGCTAAGCAGAGGAGTGCTTTCCTAGCATGCATGAGGCCCTGCACTGAAATCACATCAATTTAATTAAATGAAAAAGAAAAGGGAAAAAAAAAAAAAAGAAGGCCAGACAACATACAGGAGGCCATCTGTCCCCAAAGCTGTCAGGTCCCCCTCTCCCGGTCCCCTAGGCTTCTCACCTGACCCTGGCCAAGATCCAGGGAAGAGAATGGGTTTTCCACGGCCAGGGAGCTCCTGCAGCCTGGGCCTCTGTCCCCCCCTGCCAGTCCCCCATCCAGTCCCCAGCTGGGGGACGTGAGGGACCGACCCAGCTTCTCCCCTGCCTTATCCAGGCTCAGCTCCCTGTGGTTCCCTCAGGCCTCGGACGCCTGTCCTGCACCCCAACACGCCTCGTCTCTTCCTTGGGGGGCCATCAGGGCCCCACTGAGTACTTTCTGTTGCTCTCTAGCCGTCCTGGGGTCAGTGTACCCCACGGGTCTAGTCCGCACCCGCATATCAGGACACCCCAGTTCCTATACGAGGACCACTCGGCACAGGAATTCCGGATTGCAGTCCCGCTGCCATGTCCCCCAGGCGCCTGTCACCTGCAGGTCTCCACCTGGCTCTCTTAACCTGGACCCTAAATCTATTTTCCCCTGGGTCCCCTGGGGGCCCCATCTGTCACTGCCCTCTCCTCCAATCCAAGCCTCTTTCTAGGCTCTTGGTGGCTGTCACTCCGTCCACCCCTCTCTCCCACTGTCCCCTACGTCCATCTCGGTGGACTTGAAGGCCCCACACAGCCTTCCTTCCACCTCTGCAGACCCCACATTGGCCCTACAATCCACCCCCCAAAATCTCAGCCACCCCACAGGAAACAGGAAGTGGGAGCAGAGTCCACACTGTAGGGTCTGCCAGTCCTGACTGGCTTTCTCCCGTGCCTCAGTTTCCCTCTCACAGTACCTGACTTAGTCGGTGCTCCCCAAGTTCTCTGGGCCCCTTGGTGCCTCAGGCCCAGCTTCCCCCTCCTGTCCATGGCTGGGCACCACCCGCGCTGGGCCTCCGGGTGTCTGTGGGTCGCCTGCAATGTGGCTGTGGCTGCAGTTTCTTTCCGTCCCTGCCTCTGTGCCGCTGAGTGACTATGTGTGAGTGTTTTCCCTGCTCCCTCACGGAAGGCAGACTCCCTTCTTGTGACCCTGGGCCCCACCCTGGAGTGGCAGCCCCGGCCCGGCCCTTTCCAGCTGTGACTTCATCTGCAGCCTGTCCGGCTAGGCCTGACCGGGACTGCACGGCTTCAGGGTGACGGGCAGAGAAAGGGCCTCAGCCTAGGCACAGGGACGTCCAGGTCAGGACCTTGGGTGCTACCTCCAGGTCCTGACCTGTCCTCTCTTCAGGAAGTGAGGTCATTGGCTGGCCTGGGGCCTTCTAGGATTCCTCAGGGCTCTCTCTTAAATGTCCTTTGACACGTATAACCAATCAGATCCTCTGTTCTGCTGTCACCCAGTATCCACAAGTCCCTCTTAGATGTCACAGTAGCTTAGTTTTCATACCGGGAAACTGAGACTCAGCAGATGAAGGCATTTGACCAAAGCCACAAAAAGGACCAGGTGTGGTAGAGCACACCTGTAATCCCAGCACTCAAGAGGCTGAGGCAGGAGAGTCTCGAGTTCAAGGGGAGCCTGAGCTACATGGCAAGGCCACACAAAGGGCTCACGGAAGTGGCCTCTGGCACCATGGGGAGAGCGATCTGTCACTCTTGTTCCACCCGGGGACACAGCTACTCATCTCTGCTCCTCACAGCACCTGTCTCGGGTGGGTGGTAAGTAGTTCTGAAAGCAGTTTACACTCGTGACGAGCAGGTTCGTTGGATTTCAGCCTCCTTCAAGGTTTGGAGGGTTCCGAGCTGTGTGACTTTGGGGAGGGAGCCACCTCTGGCCTCAGTTTCTCCATCTGTAAAATGGAGCCATCAGCACGTAGACGGCAGGTTTCCTGGGAGGCCCTGGGCACCCGTCATTCTAAAAGGAAAGTGTCCTTGTCCCCACTTTACAGGGGAGGAAACTTTGACTCACTCCAGGGCACAAACAAGATTCAGTGAGCCCCAGAAAAATCAGATGCAGGGGGTTGGGCTGTGGCATGGCTGTATGTCTGTGTGTCCTTCCCCACCCTCCCCCTACCGCCCCCAGGAGCTGATTCACCCCCCTCGGCTCCATCCTTGGCCCAGGCTGGGGACACAGCTCAGTTCAGAGGGGCTTGAATCACCAGCCGCCCCCCGCGGAGCCCCTGCAGGAGGACACGGGGGTGGGGACAGCCCTCCCCGTCTGTCTGTCTGTCTGTCTCTTTCCTGGGCCCTGGGGCACCGGGGGAGAGGGCCGCTGGCCTGGGGGCGAAGGGAGGTCACTCAGTTCGGGATCCTGCGTGGGTAGGCCCTTCTGTTACTCAGCAGGTGAGCAGCAATCCGGGTGTCTGGAATTCCCCAAGACCAGTGACCCCATTCTGAGTCCCCTCCTCTCTGCCATGTCACCATCGCCACCACCCTCTTCCTGGCTGGAATCTCAATTTCCTCAGAAGCAGACCAGCCCTAGCCCTGGTCATTCATCCCTCCCAAGTCCCCCCACCAAAAAAAAAAGTTATGGCCCTGGGGAAAAAGTTAGGGGCCAGAGACAGGAAATCCTGGCACAGCCTGGCCACTGGTACTCGGTCCCCTTGGGAAACAGTTCCTCCTGAGGTCCCAGCTGCCACCTCCCTCCACCGCCCACCCCGCCAGCACTGCAGAGCAGTCTGTAAACCTGCGGTTTGGGAGTCAGTTTTATACTGACTGGCATGAAACGGAACTGGGATTTGAACTCAGGACTTCGCACTTGCAAAGCAGGCGCTCTACCGCTTGAGCCTCTCCTCCAGTCCATTTCGCTCTGGCTACTTTGGAGATGGGGTCTTGTGAACTGTTTGCCTGGGCTGGCCTCGAACCACGATCTTCCTGACCTCTGCCTCCCGAGTAGCTGGGATTACAGGCGTGAGCACCAGCACTGGGCGGGGTGAACTCGGTACGTCCCCTACTTCCTGGCCCTGGAAACCCAAATGCTGTGTTCTCGGGCCAGGACAGCAGCAACCCCCCAGGGCCAGGGACGCAGAAGCCACTGTGGCCTCCGCCAGCCGCTCCCCACACCACCCTGACATTTCCTGCTGGCTCAGCGTCAGGGACAAACCCCCCAGAGGTGAATCAGAGTGACTGCATTTTTCCCCCTTCTCCTGATGGAAATTTCAAAGGAAGTAGCAACTCCTGAGCACCAGAGGTCGGGCGATGGCGACGGCATGGGGCCCGGGTCCAGCCCAAGCTCCGCCCTCTGTCTTTCCATCTGGGGAATGGGCTGCTGTCCTCCCTGGTCACCCCATTTCGTGCTCATGGCGTCTGGACTGAGCAAACTTTCCC